TCATTTTCAGAATTTCAAAGATAAGGAGTTCATTAACTTCTTGGCAGATTCTGTCTCCAGTGGAGATAAATAGAGAAAGACAAATAGATTTCTACATTAAATTATTGAGCAGAAGTTTGCGAATGACTTCAATTAAGAACAAATCTCCCGTGTTGGGAAGCTCGGGGAGATTGCATCTCTTACCTCGGTGTTAATTGATAAATTCTGTTTGATTATGTCATCCTGACACTAAATGAAATTGCGAGGTTTACAACTGAAATGGGATTGTTTAATTGTGTTGTGAGAATAAGTCCTTATTTGTTGACTGCAAATTATTATTTCAAAAAGGAAAGCTCATTAGGCGGAAGCAAAAGAAATGCAAATGTTGAATTTGCTTATAACAGGCATATCAAACTTGAGGGTTTTTTTTTCTTTATTACTTTCTTGATAGCTTGCAGAAAGAGAATGAGCAAATAATGGAAAATCCCCCCTGGGTGACCCCCAGCCATGCTGCAGGATTCAGTGAGGTCCTTCTTCCAATTATGATACATGACTGAATGCCTGGACAAAAAAAAAAAAAATAAAAAAAAAAAAAAAAAATAAACCACATTTTTATTATGTTTGTAATTCATGTTTTCTTGTTTTTCATCCCTCCAAACCAGTCGCCTTAAACAGGGTTTCATGGAATCCTATGGTTCCTCCAGAGGTTACTAGGGGATCTACAAGCAATGAGCAACGTCTCAGATGAGTGACCACCGACAGCAATGATCTTCTTAGTGATCTGTAAGGGGGGATTCTTCCCAATGATCACAAACGTAAGACGCCAAACTCTGGCCAATGAGATCCTGCATTCACAGTATGTCCTCAGTCTTCCCAGTATCATTCAACCCAGAAGATTGAGGACATCAAGTGGAGGGAAAGGGGGCAGCTCTAGATTGAACGAGAGTATTACAGCCTGACTAGCTTTTCTTTTTTTTTTTTTTTTGTTGAGGGGCTTTTTAAATAGACCCCTTGTTGAGCTGGGCTTCATGGAATGGATCTGACTGTACTGAAATTTGAGGTGTTACTAAACCCACAACAGTACAATCAGTCTGTATATGCAGTAAAAGCATGCTTGTTATACTCACTGTGGAACCTAAAGGGTTAATGCTTTACATTGTGTAAAAAGGATGTTTGATCCTGTCTTCTCTGATCCTCCCCTTGGTTGGTAACGTGGATGAGCCTGGCAGCAGAATTCTTCTACTTTCCCCAATCCATCTGCTGATAGTACAGAGTTTTTGGGGCAAGCCGCACATGCTCAGTTTGGGGTGTATTGCTAGAGTTTTTTTTTTGTTCTTGGGAGAGCGCAAATGATCAGCACAGGGCCAATCAGCACTGCCCAGACAGAGGTCAGGGGTCCTGCAGGAGAGAATGAAAACTCCTCCTACAGGTGCTCTCCTCACACTGATATAAGTCACAAGACTGATAAGTAACTACTGATGAGAAAAGGTATTTTTACTAAAATAATTGCGATTCCATGTTCTGTGTACTGTGGGAAATAGTGTGGGAAATAGTGTTCTGTGTACTGTGGGAAATACTGTGGGAAATAACTGTGGGATATAGTGAATGCAGCAGTCCGGGGAGAGTGGATATAGTGAATGCAGGGTCCGGGGAGACCAGATATAGTGAATGCAGGGTCCGGGGAGACCAGATATAGTGAATGCAGGGTCCGTGGAGACCAGATATAGTGAATGCAGGGTCCGGGGAGACCAGATATAGTGAATGCAGGGTCCGGGGAGACCAGACATAGTGAATGCAGGGTCCTGGGAGACAAGATATAGTGAATGCAGGGTCCGGGGAGACCAGATATAGTGAATGCAGGGTCCGGGGAGACCAGATATAGTGATTGCAGGGTCCGGGGAGACCAGATATAGTGAATGTAGGGTCCAGGGAGACCAGATATAGTGAATGCAGGGTCCGGGGAGACAAGATATAGTGAATGCAGGGTCCGGGGAGCCCGGATGTAATGAATGCAGGGTTCGGGGAGAGCAGATATAGTGAATGCAGGGTCCTGGGAGACCAGATATAGTGAATGTAGGGTCCGGGGAGACCGGATATAGTGAATGCAGGGTCTGGGGAGACCAGATATAGTGAATGTAGTGTCCAGGGAGACCAGATATAGTGAATGCAGGGTCCGGGGAGACCAGATATAGTGAATGCAGGGTCCGGGGAGACCAGATATAATGAATGAAGGGTCCTGGGAGACCAGATATAGTGAATGCAGGGTCCGGGGAGACCAGATATAGTGAATACAGGGTCCTGGGAGACCAGATATAGTGAATGCAGGGTCCTGGGAGACCGGATATAGTGAATGCAGGGTCCGGGAAGAGCCGATATAGTGAATGCAGGGTCTGGGGAGACCAGACATAGTGAATACAGGGTCCTGGGAGACCAGATATAGTGAATGCAGGGTCCTGGGAGACCAGATATAGTGAATGCAGGGTCCGGGAAGAGCGGATATAGTGAATGCAGGGTCTGGGGAGACCAGATATAGTGAATACAGGGTCCTGGGAGACCAGATATAGTGAATGCAGGGTCCTGGGAGACCAGATATAGTGAATGCAGGGTCCGGGGAGACCAGATATAGTGAATGCAGGGTCCGGGAGACCAGATATAGTGAATGCAGGGTCCGGGGAGACCAGATATAGTGAATGCAGGGTCCGGGAGACCAGATATAGTGATTGCAGGGTCCGGGGATACCAGATATAGTGATTGTGGGGAGACCAGATACAGTGAATACAGGGTCCGGGGTTTAGTAACACTTTAAGGATATCCCTGTCATTGCTGGGAAAAGACCAGTAATGTACAGCCACTGATAAACGTTCTGTACAGATCTGTGTAGCACATGAATAATGACTACTGTAAAATTGCCATTTATTTCAATCAGTGAATTAATTAGTATGAATATAGAATTTCCTTTGAATCTATGAATCTTTCATATGGGTCACCATTAGATCTGCTTCCTCCTGTATTCTGTGAATTATTACAAGAGACGGAACGTTCGTCATGTGCCTGGCTATATCTCAGGAGCATGAATATTTTTTATCTTAGCTAAACCCTCCGCATTCTTAATTAATGATTCCCTTTACCATAAATGTATAAACATATTAAACAGACATTTCCACTTTTGAGTCCACGTTTACTTATGAGCTGTTAACAGGCCAGGCTTTATTTCCTTGATCAATCATCTAATCACCTTAATGTATGTCTTTTTTCGGTGCTGCATACTTTGTTCTTTTGCCGCGATTTCATGCATAGTGCAGCTCACAGTAAGCTTGGCAGAGGAGTTCTTACAGGGAGATCTGAGGACAGTTTTTTATTGTCCCTCTTACCAGAGAATCCCAGAATAAAAGGAGGCAAATGCACACACAAAACAATATGATGCAGTAAAATAATTAGATTTAGAAAATAAGTAATAATAAAAATAATAAAAAGGATAATTTTAAAATTAAGTATTGCACATACTAAATGACACACAGAAGCATGTGTGTTCTGTTCCAAATGCCGCTAACATGCCTTCTTGGACCCAGGTTGTTTAGACAGTGTAGTCACCTGCTGACTTTGCACCATCTACAGGCAGCTTAACTCCTCAATAAGAAACAGAAGTTGAATCCAACACAATTTTACTTGAAAAACAAGGGAAGAAAGGGAGCACCAGCCTAGTGCATTACCGGAGAATACATTTTATTCAATCCAGAAGAGATACGTAATATTTTGCTATGAGGAAGAGGGGATAACCCCTTGAAACGCGTCATCCATTTGAGGGTCTTCTCGTGTTTGGGAGCTGACCTGGTGACTTGGTTGCTTTGGATATTGACATGCCTTTGATACTACAGTACATATCTCTTCTGGATTTAATAAAATGTATGCTCAGGTAATGCACTAGGCTGGTGTGCCCTTTCTTCCCTTGTTTTGCAGTGATTAATTTGGTTTCTTCCACCTTTCAGAGGGCAGGAAGGCCTGTGCTGGCGTTGGACGCACAAGGATCTGAAGTTCCCATATCATCTTAACACTCCTGGGACACTCTTCTTGCCTTTTCTTCTGTACAATTTTACTTCACTTAATGACAGTACAAAGGATGTTTTTCCAATATTTTGAAGTGTAAAAAGACAATGACTTAGCCCTGTCTCTGTGAATAACTAACACTGACTGATGAAATATTGAAGAAGTGGGGAAGGTTTAGCTAAGACTAAACTAACTAGCACTAAACAGGAGGGCAGGACAGAGGAAGATTCCAAAATCACATTAGTAGTAAATTGCAGTGGCCCAAAACTGCCACTAGATGTCAGCACACTACAAAAAAAATGATAACCTCCTGCACTTCATTACAACACATAAAAAAAATACATGAACGCGAGGCACAACAATGTTGGACTGTGCCTATTTGGTTTTGTTTTCTGGTTGTAACGGTGGAGTTTGATCTCCATCTGTCATGGAAATTTTGTAAATGCTTTTGATTCAATTGTAATTTTTGTGAATAATATTCATGGTTTATATAGTGTCAACAGTTAGTGCAGCACTGTACAATATACAGGATACATATGCACAGATTTCTTGTGTTCACCCTCCTAATAGATTACTCCCAGTGGCGTCCCTAGGCAGTTGTGGGGGGTGCGCGCTGCATCGGGAGACACCTACCTCACAGGGTGACAGCAGACCCGTTCCACAAAAAGGTAAATTGTAAGGCAAGCCAACGATCCCCGCAGGATGGATCGGATCTGCGGATTGAGCATAATGGATCGGAGTCCGATCCATTATGCTCAATCCACAGGTCCAATCCATTCTGCGGGGATCGTCGGAGGGGGTGTCACTAAGTGTTATCGCACCGGGTGACACCAACCCTAGGGACGCCCCTGATTACTCCATTCATACTAAACATGGTGAACAGAGGTATCGCCACTCCTGGCCATTGTATTCGGATGGCCACACACCTGCTGTTGTGTAATACCCAAATGTGACTGCATCTAATAGGACCCGGTCACTGTTTGGCTGACAATTTTCTGCTAGGCTCCTTTGATATTTCAGACTAGGTTGGTTGAGCCAGGAGATGCTGACAGGGCCAACCACAACTCTAAATTCAAGCCTTGAATGGCCAGCTTTACAATACAATTCAACACAAGACGAATAGGAGGACCTTGCTCATGAAAGCTTACACTCTAAAAGCAAGGGGCAAGTGATACAAAAGCCAGCAGGGGCGGACTGACCATTTGGAAACTTGGGCACTGCTCGAGGGCCCGGGGTTAGTAGGGGGCCTCATGAGATGCCCCTGGTACCTTTTTCATAAGCTTTTTTGAGTTTGGGCAAGGATACAAGGGCCCCATGATCCCCTATTGCCCGGGGGCCCCATGAGTTGTCAGTCCGCCCCTGTACAAAAGGTAACAGCTGTGGGGGGTGGAGGAAGAAAAATATAAGCTTTTAGGTGGAGGTGGAAAAGGCTTCCCTGAAGAGATGAGTTTTCAGTGATCACCTAAAGGTGGACAGAGTACTGGACAGATTGGTGTAGGGAGTCCCAGAGGAAAGGAGAGGCTCTGGAGAAATACTGGAAGTGGGCATGGGTGGAGAGGATGAGGGAGCTAAAGAGTAGGAGGTCTTGGGAGGAGCAGAGAGGACAGTTGGGGTGAAATGTTTGGGATGAGATTGGTGATGTAGCTTGGGGCATTTGTTGGGTGAGCAGAAGCCAGTGGAGGGATTAGCCACTAGGAGTGGTGGACACTGAGGGGTTTATTTACTAAAGCTGGAGAGTCCAAAATCAGACTCCTTTCTGCATAGAAACCAATCAGCTTCTAACCTCAGCTTGTTCAATGAAGCTTTGGCAATGAAACCTGGAAGCTGATTGGTTTCTATGCAGAAGGGAGTCTGATTTTGGACTCTCCAGCTTTAGTAAATAAACCCCTGAGTGTTTGGTAAGGTGGGTGAGCCTGGGAGCAGAATTCATCATACACAAATGGGGGGATAGCCTGCGTAGAGGTAGGCCAATGAAGTAGGAGTATAAAATGCTCTTAGAACAACATGAAATCTGCCTGGAAGAAAAGCAAAATACGTTTTAATCAGTAGGCAAATTCTGGAACTGCATTTCATGGCCACAGTAAAGTTGGTTCCACAGAACTTACTGGCACAAGCCAACTTCCATTTATAACTAATGTCCCCATTTGGCAGAAAAGAAGTACTGTGGGGGGTAGTTCTGGAATGAAGGTTCTATTGTAGCAAAAGTGTTTTTTTTTATCCTTTAATCCTTTATTGGGTTACTTTTTTTTTAAATTTATTATTACTTAACTTTTTAAGTTATTTTGACTAACTTTTTATTTATTTATTTTTTAATTTTATTTTTACTTGAATTTTTTCTTTTTTTTACAATAAAAACAATCTTTTTTTACAATAATATCTCAAATTCCAGGCTCACTAAACTTTCCCTTTAAACTATTCTTTGTGCTACAGTCTATCTAGTGAATCACATAAACTAATTATTTACCAAGGTCTGTTCTGTTGCTGACACATATATTCATAAAATCCTTTGGCCTTCTATTTATTTTAACTGGTTTTAGTTTCCTCTACTGGTTGTGTTTCCGCCTGTGGAAATTTTCTTACCCCAGCTATGAAATTGTGGGGGTTATAAGTCCTGTATAGTCTCCGGCATGATAAATGTAGTTTCTTTTTAACAATAGTCACACAAATCCTAATAGCTACATAAATCACTCGCTGTAGCACCCAAGTTTTCACCAGCCTTGATAAATGGACCGCACGGTACAGCGACATACGCAAACCATGGCTACATTTAGTAAAATTATAAATCATTTCTAACGTACTGTATCTGGTTTACATATCAGCAACATTTGGTTAATATCCCGGCCATTGTTCTTACGATTCCAATTACGGGAAACAAAAATTATTTCACAATTTTATTTATTGTCCAGGAAAAAAAAAATATATTCATATGTATACACACAATTTTTATTATTTTAATTACAAATTTAATTTGGTTAGACCTTCTCTCACATGTACAATTAAGAATGGCAAATTTCCTGTAATCAGTGGTAACACAATTCTATTGTTTTATTATTTTTCCACACAAACCATTATAACAGTTTTTTTTTTAAAAGGATCACAGTATATTTTCAGCAAGTACACATATTAAATGATTATTAAAAAAACACATGCAGGCTCCACCTCCGGAACATCGCCAAGATACGCTCCTTCCTTACCCCAGACACCACTAAACTACTCGTACACTCCCTGATTATCTCACGCCTTGACTACTGCAACTCCCTCCTCACCGGCCTACCCCAGTGCAGGCTCTCCCCGCTTCAGACCATCCTGAACTCAGCGGCCAGACTCATCCACCTCACCAGCCGCTCCACCTCTGCCACCCCCCCGGTCTGCCTCTCCCTCCCCTGGCTCCCCATTGCCCAACGCATTAAATTCAAATTGCTCACCCTGACCTATAAGGCCATTCACAACACTGCCCCTAACTACCTCACCGACCTG